GGAATGCCGTCACCTGTACCTGTACCAGGCCAATCCCCATGTTGGCTCATTAACTGACAACTGTAGTGTTTTCCACACAGAGGCCCTAAAGCTTTTTAAGGATCAGCTGTCTCCTTATGAGCAAAGTGAAATCCTGGGCTACACAGAGCTGTGGTTCCTGGGACTTGATGCTGAGAAGCTCAACGTGACTCCTGAGAAATTCAGCAAGACAAGTTTTGACGACGAACATGGATCCTATATGAAGGTGATGGGAGAAAGGGTCATGGCCACTTGAGGGGGTTTGAGGGTACAAGATAGACTGAAAAGTCACAGGATTTGATGCTGACACATCAGGGACTAGATATCCTCAAGGATTCTAGTAAGTGTTAAACCAAAGAAATGCCATGATTTGGGACCAGCAGGTGGCATGGTGGTTAAAGCACTGGACTTTCACGTGGTTAACCGTGATTCAAGTCCTGGACCCAGAGACTTGAAAATTATGCCAGGCAGGGCCCAGCAGATAGTATAGTGGTTATATTGCTGGACTCCCACATGGACAAACATGGTTCAAATCCCAAACCTGGTGGCTTGAGACTCACATCAGGTACATGTGTGCTCATGCCCAAGATCCCAAGAGGAGAATGGAGAAGAAGGGATTGTGGTGTGGCCTCCCCTATGGGAGGTGAATTCTCACTTTCCCTCTCTCTGTCTCTTTCTCTCTCTCTCTAGTGGGCACATGTGCCCTAAGGCAAAAATCTCAAAGAAAAGAAAAGAAAATCAAGCCAGGCATGTGTGCATACATATCCAGAATCCTGAGAGGAGAATGGAGAAGAAGGGATTATGGCATATCCATTCCTCCGGGGGGATAATTTCTCACTTTCCCTCTCTCTGTCTCTCAAGTGAGCACACATGCCCTATGGCAATAAACCTAATTTTTTTTTTTTTGGAGAGGTTTTCGCTATAGGGCGTGTGCGCTCACCAGACAGACAAAGAGAGACATAGAGACAGAAAGTGAGACATCACCCCCCAGGGGGGATGGTCACGCCACAATCCCCTCTCCTCCATTCTCCCCTCGGGATCCTGGGCATGCATGCACACGCGCCCGGCGTGAGCTTTAAGCCACCGGGTCCGGGATGCGAACCGCAGTCGACCACGTGGGGGTCCATCGACACAGCCATTACGCCAACTGCTGGTTCCCAATAAACCTAATTTTAAAAATGGTCAAAAATGGGAAAAGATGCGATTGAATATGCAAAATACTCTGCTGGTTTTCTCCAAAGTATTTGGGGTAACAAGTTTGCATCCTGGATGGATCCCAGAGGCTCTTTTGCACAGTTCTAGGCCCACTGGAAAAGCCAAATGGGAATTAGAAGCAGGTCTCTTCCATACAAGCCCACACATAGACCCTTATCTAACATAGTAGTTGTCATTTCCTCCACAGACAAAACCGTTTTTGTCACTATAGTTCCTGCATATAGTCCAAAATCGATCCCGACAACTTCTCTTT